GGCCATTCCCTGCCAAGCAGGAAGGGGCAGAGTGCCTTGCCCATCTCAGGCCATCTTTGGAACCCTCAGCTGGCTTCTGAGTGCTTGCTTTCTCCTCTTCTGGGGAGTGTGTGTAGGGGGGGTGTTGGATATTGCTGCTGGCTGTGGAGTAAAATGCTGCCTCTGTTTGGGAGACAAAGAACACAGTGGCTCCTCCGGTCAGCTGTCTCTTCTCGCCCGCCCCTGGCCTCCCCCCACCCCCCCACCCCGGCTTCTGAGCCTCTGTGTGCCTTGTGAGAAGGGCCTTTGGGCCAGGCTGGGAGCTCCTGTGCCACCGCGTCTTCACTGGAGCTTAAAGGAATATTTTACCTTAAAAGACCCCAAGCAGCTTTTTTGCTCTGGAGATGTTCTTTTGCTGGGGTGGGCTGGGCGTGGGGGTGGAAGGGCTGCGGCGGGGGATGCAGACTGGCCTAGGTTGGTGCCAGAGCAGGAGAGTGTGCACTCCCTCCCCCCGCATAGCAGTGTGAGTGCGTGTGCACAGCGCATGTGGGAACATAGGAAGGTGTGTGGATGCTTGCCTTGTATGTAAGAGCATGGTTGTGAATGTGCTGGAATGGGAAGAAAATTCGCAGAGTATATGAGCACCCATGTGCGAAGTATAGGGGTGTCGCTGCAGCGTGTGCGAGTTTTGCACTTGGGTCTGAGGCTGTTTAGAAGTACGCGTGGCTAACCTGGTGTGGGGCCGTGTGTGCGAGCCTGTGTGCTGGCGTGGAGTAGTGTGAGCCTGATCGAGAACGCACGAACACGTGTGTTGCTGCGTGGGGAGGCCCCGCGTGTGAGTGTGAGCGCGAGAGTGAGGATGTGCGGGAGGGGCTGGCGCGTGCGCGTGGAAGCGGGCGTGCACGCCGCCCCCCGCTGGGTCGGAGCCGGTTGCCATGGGAACGCGCCGCGGCCTGAGTTAATCATTTCCTGTGGAAAGTGTGCGGGAGGGGGGCAGCGGGCGGGCCGAGGAGGCGGCGGCAGCGTGGAGCTGCCTCCCGCCGGCGGGCCGGGCCGGGCGCTGCCGGGCGCTGCGGCGACGCTGGGATCCTGCCTCGGCTAGGCGGGTGAGTCGGGGCCTAGGCGGGCTCGGGGGTGGAGTGGGTACTCGGGCCCCGCCGGTCATGGGCGTTGCGTCCGACCGAGCCTGGCAGTGGGACCCCTCTGCCTGGACCTGCTGGGGCGAGGGGAGGGCCGGCCCCTGAGACCCAGCCCCGCGAGGTCCCCCTGGCGCCGTTCCATCGGAGCCAAGGACCTTGCAGCAAGCAAGGCATGGGGCGGTGTGCCCTCTGGGATCCCAGCAGCCCCAGAATCGTTCTGAGGGAGCACAGATCTTACCTACCCTGGAGTGTCAGTCAGTCCCACCCCCCTATTGCAGGGGTGTCCCCCCACCCCATTCCCGTGAAGGGTGCTGTTTCGGTTCCTTCCACCATGTCCCTTGGGCAGTTCCTCTTCTCCCTGGCTGGGCCAGGGGTGGGGTATGCCAGTCCTGAGGTTAGGAAGGGAGGGCCTTGGCCAACGAGGAATTGGGCCATTGACAGCCATAGCTGGGTGGGAGGGAGGTGTCTCAAAAGGGAGGGTGAAGCCAGAAGCCACCCCCTTCAGCCCCACATTGCCAGTTAGAGCAGAACTCTGGCTGGTGCAGTGAAGGGCCTGGTCCTGGGAGATTTTAAAGAGGAAGCTGTATTTAAATTCTTAAGTGCCATTAGCCACTCCTCACCTCCTCCCCCCAGAACATCTGTCTCAAGGTTGGGGGTTGTGGTTACTCCTGGGCTTTCACCTTCCCTGGCTTTTCCTCTGCCTGAAGCTCAGTCTGGGTGAGCACTATTCTTGCCCAGACCTACGTATTCCCCATGCCCTTGATAAAGTAGAGGTCTCCTTGGCCAGGGAGAGTCATTTGCTAGGAATGCAGTTTTAGAATATTGGGCCCTGTATTTACAGGGACTGAACTTTAGGGGAACAAGGGCAGTGAGTTCTGCTGTTCATATGCCATCAGGGAGCGAGAATTTGAAACCTGGGTTGCTCAGGAAGACCCAGGATGTGTGACTATGTGCAAGGGAGGTCCTGGCTCCTGTCCAGTATTCCCAACCTTCTGCCTTCTCTCCTAGGGGGGGCCAAGGCCCCCCTCTAGCAGCAATCTCTGGGAAGCTGTCTAGTCTGTCCCCCAAGCTTTGCAATATTCCTGGTTTAGGGAATGGGAGGAGTGAGCTGCAGCTCTCTCTGCTCTACCTTCTCTTCCTCTAGCCCCTCTGCATTCATCCACCACTCGAATGAAGTCCCTGAAAAATAATTCTCGAGCTCTTTGCATATGCTAGTATTGTTCTGAAGACTTTATAGAACGTGCATTATCTAATCTTTACACTTAATCCTATAAGGTGGCGTTCTCCCCATTTTATAGATGGAGATGATGAGGAACAGAGAGGCACAGTAATTCTCCCAAGGTCACACGTTTAGTCAGTAGTAGAGCCAGGTTTTCTGAACCAGTCCCTCTGCTCTACCACTGAAATCCTGGGTTGGTAGAGGTCCCAGGATATCAGATGCCCGTGCAAACGAGGAGTGAGAGAGTGCTTCTTTCTTGACCCAGAACCCCAGGCTTATTTGAGATTCATTGATACATTTGACCTCACACCCCTCTTGCTGCTAAATTCAGCTGCTTTTTCCTTTTTGGGATCTAGCACACACCCTTCCTCTTTCTTCCTGACATCTTCCTGGCTGCCTCCCAGACTTCCTTTCATGATAGTCACAGAAATATTATCTCCTTCTGTCCCTGCCCCTTAAACTTAGCTGATCTCCCCAAAAGTCTTCTCCCTCAACCGTGTAGTCCGCATTCAATGCCCTGCACCACCTCACCTTTCCAACAGCTGAGTGAGCAGATGGACCTTTCTTCTCCTTTGCCCATTGGGCAGCTGCCCTACAGGGTTGGTCTCGTGCCCAGTGTGGTGCCAGACAGCCTGGAGAGAATGATTGGTCTCTTCCCTGCCACATTGGTCCATCTTAATTTCCTCAGTGCTGGCCCACATCTTTGAGTTAGCCTGTTCCTGTCCTAGTAAAACTGCACCCAGGAGCCCCTTCATCTTCCTCCTAGTTGTCTTTTTCAGTCAAAGAAGGAAGAGACTAACTACTCCCTAGCTGGGAGCCTGGGTTCTGCCAAGGCTGGGTTCTACAAGCATCAGACCCCAGATCTCCTAGTCAGGCCCCTTCTCTTGATTCTTTTTTGCCTCGCAGTGCTTTAGTTATTCATACCCCTCAGTCTCCCCAACATGCACAGATCTCCCCTGTTCTAAACACCACTTCCGCCCTGTCGCATCCTGGCCAAACTTCCCCGAATAGAAGGAAGCGGCTGCTTCCTCCAGCTCCTGCTCCACTCCTTGCACCTCCCAGGCTTTCTGCCCTTCTCCTTCTGAGAGCCCCCAGGGCTTTCTGTCTGTCTCGGCCTCTTCCAGTTGTCCTTATCTCTGTGGCATGGCTCCTGGGAGCTGAGGATGCTCTCCCTCCTACCCCACTCTCTGGTCACTTTTGAGGACTGTGTGTATGCCTAGTACTCCTGCCACCTCTGACCTTCCTTCTCCAGCTTCCTACCCCCCATAGTGATCTCTGTCCTCATCTGGCTGTCTCTCCTTTTGGCTGTCTTAGCTTTTGGTGATTGCCTCCCCACCTACATGGCATCAATGGCCCTGTTCTGAGTTTGTGTCCGGCCTTAATGCCTCTTCTGGGCTGCATGCCAAGCTTTTGTGTGCGTTTGTTTTGGGACATTCAGCTCAGCAAGCCATCCCAGAAGACCAGGCATAGGTACACCTCCAGCCTGGCTGCTATAGGGCTCCCAGATGAATGTGCCCTGCCATCAGGGAGCCATAGTGAGCCTCGAGGTGGACACCATTCACTTAGCTATCTGTACTGCCTCGCAGAAAGTGGTCATTGATGTGTAGAATGGGGATAATCCTCTGCAGCTCAGGTAGCTCCACTAGGGGGTCACTTGGGTGCCCCCAACTCAATCAAAACCAGAAGCAAACCTCATGTTACTTCTCCAAGCTGAATTCGCTTCTGTAAATGGCATCACTGTCTGAGCGTGGGACAGTAGCTTGATGACTTTAAATGCTCCTTAAGGCAACTTTGCACAGAGTAGGTCCTCAGTGAAGACTTGGGCCGTGGGTGTTCAAACTCTGTTCATTTGTTCAGTTCATGAGGGACGTGTGGGGCTTTCTATCTCCAACTAGTGCCCACCCCTATATCTCTAGGCCACCTGGTACCTGGCACATACCTCCTACCTCCTGACTCCTGATCAGATTGTGGGGGGTGTTCTGAAGTCTTTGTCTCCCTTCTGCAGGGGAGCTTTGAGGCCACATCTTTCCTGGTCAAAGAGAACCCCTAGCAGGTGCCTGGAAGACAGTAGATATTTATGTGTAATTATTAAATGAAGGTTGAATGCAGCTTTTATCTCAACACCTAGTGCTGTGCCTGCCACTTTCCAGGCACAGAGTGAGGGCCAGGCGAGCACAGGAATGAGCTGACTTTAAGATGACTGGCTGTGTCTCTCCTTCTCTGAAACCTTCTCATTCAGAGCATTAGCTATTTGGCGGGCAGGACTGAGGTAGAGGAGCCTGGAGCCTGAGGGTTAAACCTGTGGTTAAGTGCAATTAGAAAAATAAGATGTCTCAAAGAAAAAGGATTAGACTTACCGAGGTGCTGCCGACTTGTGGCATTTCCTCCACGTAGGACTGTGACCTGGAAAGTCTTCATGCTGCCAGGCTCAGGGAGGAAGGGCTCAGGTGCAGGGTCTCCACATGGCACTGGGACATACCTGCCAGGCTCCTTGCCGACTTCTAGGCCTCCCCGTTTGGTAACAAACACCATCAAATGGGGGCAGACCGAGTCTCATCCTGTGACCCTGAGGCTCCTTGGGGACCACGCAGCTGGGGCTGCCCCCCTGGGTAGTGGTGCCCTTCTAGATAGCAGGTCTGCCCCGAGGTGCCAGTCATGTCAAGTTGGTCTCCCCTTGTTCTTTCTGCAGGCTGCCCGGCGCCCAGAGGACACTGCTAAGCCCCGGGCCATGGTCCCCTCTCGCAGGACGTGGAACCTGGGAGCCACGCCCTCGCTGCGGGGCCTGTGGAGAGTGGGCCGGACCCGGGAGCCCGCGCCAGGGATGGCTCGCCCCGCCCCAGCCCCAGCCAGCCCGGCCGCCCGCCCTTTCCCACACACCGGCCCGGGGAGATTGAGAACTGGTGAGTCCGCATTTTTAAAATGCCTCTTTATTTCCCTTCCTTCCTCCAGATACCAGAGATGAGACTGAGGTTTCTCACCAGTTCCTAAACCCGGTCAGAGCTGTCAGGTAATTACAGGGTAACCGGCAGCCCCAGAGCCCGGGCGGGCGTGGAGTCGGGCGTCAGTCCCGCCGAGTGCTCCTTCCCCGCGCCCCTGTCTGGACGGAAGCATCTGGGAAGCGGTTTAAACTTTAACACAGGACAGAGAGCAGGGGACAACTTGGTGCTCCCTGTGGGCTGCCGGGAGCTTGTGGGCTCGCCTGTCTCTGCCTGAGGCTGGTAAACAAGGTAGGTGAAGAGGCTGCCTGGCGCCCCTACCGCCACTGACACTTGATCCCGCCTGGGCTGGTCCCTGGACTCGTGAGGAGCCAGTGGAGAATGTTTGGAGCGCTGCCGGACTTAGGTGCCATGTGCTCTGTCTTAGGTGCTTCTATAGAGCTCCTGACAGAAGGTGGGCTGCGAGGGGGTCCCAGAGTCTGGGCCCCCACTGTCCCTGAGACTGCTGTCAGCACCACCTTGCCTTTCTGGGTCATGTCCCCTGGTGCCATGAACTTGAGAAGTGAGAAGCTGCTCTGATTCCTGATGGGGCTGGACTGTTGAGTCTAAGGAGCTGCCATGCCCCTTTCTTTCTCGGGCTTGGCATGCACAGGTTGCCCTAGTAATGTTGGGGGACAGGGCTTTCCGTGCAGTGTGTCTTGTTGCTCCTGACCTATGGGCCCAGGGGCAGCCTGTCAGAGCTAGCAGAGTCCCTCTGGGCCATTAGGTCCAAGCCTCCTGATACACAGAAGTGGAAACTGAGACCCAGAGAGGATACATGGCAAACTCCTGGGCGTTTCCTCTCTCCCACTACACCTGAGCTGTCAGTGGCAGCCGGAGTGATGCCTTCCAAAGTCTGCTTCAGTGGTTGCCTGGGGCTGGTTGTGCCCTGAACAGCACGGCCAGACTGGGGAGGACCCTGGGGGCCTCTGGGGAGAGCTAGAGCTTTTTGGGTAGGTAGACCCAGCTGTCTGAAAGGGGCAGAGGATGGTCCATAGCCTACAGGGTTGTCCTAAGGGTTACAAATGTAATGTGAGTATTGCTTTTCTGGTAAAACACTATTTTCCTTTGGAAAGCAAGATGAAAACCCACAAGAAAATGTAAAAGAGAAAATAATCACCTAAGCTAATTACTCAAAATTTTATGACCCACTACATAAATGTGGGTCTAATAAATATTTTGAAGATTTCAAAAATCTTTGAAATCTTTTATCCACTTAAGACAAAAGTCACATGAAATCCTGTGTGTGAGACCCAAGTACAGTGCCTGGCCCTGAGTACGGTCTTAGTCAACTCAGCTGCCCCTAGGCCCCGCTGAGCACACTTGTCCCAGCCTCATTATTGCCACCCTGAGAGGGGTAGGCTGGCAGAGGGTCAGTTAGCACTTGGGATTTGAATATCGGCTCCAGGTGACCCTGGGCACACATGGTCAACGCTCCTGGGTTTTCAGTTCTTTGTCCATGTCAGGAAGCACTGCAGGAGAGCTGGGGACTTGCCTTGTGCCTCTGCTCCCTGGGTAGTTGTGAGGAACTGATTGCAATTGTGGTCCTAAAGGCCCATACTATGGGCACATTGTAGGTGCCCGGCACTGGGTGGGCATTTTGTGTGTCTCGTGCCATTTCATCCTCACCACAGGGCTGTAAGGTTGGATGGTTGTCCCCATTTTACTGACAAGTACACTGAGGATCAAGGACTGTAGGGCCTGGAAAGCACTTGACCCAGTGGCTAGCACTCAGGATGTTGTTGTGTCCCAGGCTAGTAGCTCTGCAGTTTACCCTGTGAGCCTCCATCTCCCACTCAGCCCTGCAAGGTGTGGTGGGGGCAGATGAATGGGGCATCCATGCCAGGGTCTGCCCTCTTCCCCACTGGTGAGGGAGGTGGTGTGTAAAGGGGCATGTGGGGATGCACCTTCGGAGACAGCAGAGAGCGGGCCACCCAGCATAGGTTTGGTCTTAATGAAGGCAGGGGAGAAATTGCCACCTAGAGGCAGCCGGAGTAATGAAGCTGCAGCTGTGGTGTACCTCCTCAAAGCTTTGTGCCAGCTGTTTGGCATGGGCTTCCTTCTGCTGCTCTGTTGAGCAAGTGCCAGCCCCAAAAGCCACTGTGAGGAGAGGAGAGCCCCCAGTGGGGTCTTGAGCCCCTTTTGGATGAGGATTTTGGAATGGATTTGGTAAGGAAGGGGTGTAGCCCCTGCCTGATGCCAGGATTCCCTTCCGAGCAGAGGGTAGGCCTATGAGGGTGTGTGAGACCCTCCAGGGACTGCCTGGCCCTGGGCTAGCCAGGAGTGGATGAGAGCTGAGCTGAGCCTCAGCCCTGGCTAGTGAGTGGTCCATGGCTAGTAGTGTGAGTGTCTCACCTATTGCTGTCCTGATGCAGGCCGTGGAAAAGACACCCTGGTCTGTGGTGACGAGGACTCCAGTGCCCGAAGTGGAGTTCGCCCAGCTCTAGCCCAGTGCCGAGCACTTAGTGTGGACTGGACTGGCCCCGGGAGCCCTCGTGGGCTCTACCTGACCGTGCAGGTAAGCACTGGGCCTTGGTTCTCTGAGCTCCAGCACACAGATTCCTGCCAGGTTCCTGGGGGAAGGAAACACTGAGGGAAAGCTGGGGACCCAGCTTGTACCCGTCTGCCAAGCCCGTTGCAGCCATCTACCTGCGAGCCTGTGTGGTTGGAGCAATTTGCTTTATTAAGTTATCTCGGGGGAAAATCTCAGAGGAGGTGACAAAAGCTTTTCATCCACACCCTGGCTGAGGTGTTGAAGTGGGAAGTTGGGGCCTTGGCTGAGATAAGCTGAGCCTAGAGAAGGTATTGCGAGCACAGGCAGGGTTTAGGGGTAGCTGTTTATCCCCTCTCAAGCATATGAGTCTTTGGGGGCGATACTTCTCTTGCCTTGTTAGAAGTGAGAACCCAAAGCTAGGCAGGGCTTCACCAAAACTTGGGATTCTTTTCCCTTACAGGTATCACCAAGTGACCTTAAAAAGACAAACTTACAGACATATGTATATTTGGTTGTAGAAATAATGATAACAAATCACAGCTACTATTTATCCAACACTGACTTTGTGCCAGGCATCATGTATCTCTCATCAGTCCTCATAGTCCTCATAATAGTTTTAAGACATGGTGACTGAGGATAGAGAAGGACTGTAGGGCCCAGAAAGCTTTGTAGATGTGGATCCGGAGGCTCAGAGAGGTTAAGTTACTTGCTTCTGGTCACACAGTGAACCGGGATCTGAACCACTACTTATAATGTGGTATAAAGAATTCACCCTGGATAAGATACAGTACCTAGCAATTCAATGCCTCTTATAGATCGCTGTCTTTGAGATATGCACTATTAAGTGTTTGGTGTTTAGCCTTTTATTTTTCCCATATAACTACTTCATCTACCTCAGTCTTTTAAAGGGCCGCATAATATTCTCCTACAGGGTTTACCATGAATTACTATTTAACCAATCCGCTGTATTGTTTCTGATGGCAGTGAGCTTCCTCAACAAATATCTGTGTATTCCTATAGCTGTTAGTGTTGTCTGTATATTCGGGGCAGCATAGGCTCTGCCCATTTTTATTTTTTATTTTTAAGTCTCACTCTGTTGCCCTTGATAGAGTGCCTTGGTGCTGTAGCTCCCTGCAACCTCAAACTCTTGGGCTTAAGCGATCCTCTTGCCTCAGCCTCCCAAGTAGCTGGGACTATAGACACCTGCCATGATGCCAGGCTAGTTTTTCTGTTTTTAGTAGAGATGGGATCTCACTCTTACTCAGGCTGGTCTTAAACTCCTTAGTTCAGGTAGTCCACCTGCATCGGCCTCCCAGAGTGCTGGGATTACAGGCATGAACCACTGTGCTTGGCCTCTGCCCATTTTTAATGGCCACACTGGTTTAGCAGGTATTTGTGAAGTGCCCACTTTGTACCAGTGTTGTGCTAGGTGAAGGTGAAGAAGACAAAGGGTTGTGAGAGTGTAGCAGAGACACCAGGGCATAACCAAATGGTCATGAATGTATGAACACTGATAAACCCCAGTGGCAGAGGATGAGGTACCGGAGTTATCTGGATGCTTTGCCCTCCCCAAGAAGGCTTGTGCGTGAGAGAGCCCATCATTCCCTCACATTCTCCTGATGTGCACACACTAATCCTGCCCTTTCTGGAAGTTCCATTTGCACAGAGCCTTGAGGGAACATATACAGATGGTGGGCAGGATGGGCTGTAGGGAACACACACGCCCTCCCAACGTGCATGTCCTCTCTAGTGCAGACTTAAGTCCTGGCAGGAGTGACACGCCCCTCCCCCCAGCCCCAATCTGAATAAGGGCCCTGTGATTGATGTTGCTCTGGGGACAGTCTTGTGCTTCAAGGTGTTTTTCAGCTCTTTTCCTATGGTTGGTTCCTTCCAACCACAGGAAAACTGAACCAAATGGTCTGTCGTTATCAGACAGGTCTGTGAGAATAGCAGGTCTGGTGAGAGAACAGTTAAAGAAACCAGAGGACTGGTGTTTGCTCTGATTTGAGCCACTGGTAGTTAAATTGGGAGGTGGCAGTCAGAAACCCTCAAGTTGGGTGGTGGCTCTGTTCTTGAGTTTTGATTATGGGGTGTTGGGTTGTGGTTACAGCCAAGTCCTAGGGTCAGCAGATCTGCTGAGGATCTCTGAGAAGCTGGGGCCAGCAAGCAGCTTCCATGGTCACATCCTGCCAGGCCTCCTAAAACCTCTGTCATGTTTATAGGTGCTTTTGGAGCTAAGGTGGGTCCCAAGCACAGTGAGATGATCCAGTAGGCTTGGTGACTCCTCTAGCCCCTATCCTTGTCCAGTGATTCAAACCTGAGACGCTCCCCATTGAAGCCCTCCAGAAATTCCCAACCCCCCGGGGGCCCGTCTGCCCTTCCTGTGGCTTGGCCAGCGGGCTAGAAATAGCATAACCTTTGCTCTGGTCGGCAAATGGAAACTTCCAGCTGCTGCCCTTGCCACTGCCACTGACAAGCCTGCTCGTGATGGTGTGGCAGTTGGTTGAAGGGAGGGGACAAAACAAAGTTGGCGGGAATTTTCCTCCGTCCAAGGGGTGAACTCCCCACCTCCCTTTTTCAGTGGCACGTGGGGTTGGGAGGGAGGGTGTGGCTGGCAGACTAACCAGCCTGCTGATGTCAACTTTCTCATCTTTTCAGTTCTCTTTATTGGGTTTTTGATTATCAAAGTGGAAAAAAAGTGAAGCTTACTGGACGAATGTAATGAGCATGGCTACCTTCTGTGGAGTTCTTCTCTTTGCCAGACACTTTCCGAGTAGTTTGCTGAAGTTATCTCAGTTACTCTTCACACAGGCTCCATGAGTCGGGTACTGTTATTGTAGTTTCCATTTTAAGAAGCAGGGAAATGCAGCTTCAGGGAAGGAGAGTTGTTGCCCACAGTCACACAGCTTATGTGAGGTCTTTGCACCTCCAGAACATTTTTAAAAGCTAACGTTTGTCTTTGTGCTTTGAATTTAGAGGGCATAAAGACAGACAAAACTTGTCTGCAATCTCTTCCCAGATAACCTCTGTTGACATTAATAAAACAAAACACTGTTGACGTTCATAAGGTTAAAAATTCAAATGCCAGGCTCAGCGTCTGTAGTACAGTGGTTACAGCGCCAGCCACATACATGGAGGGTGGCGGGTTCGAGCCTGGCCTGGGCCAGCTAAAACAACAATGACAACTGCAACAAATAGCCGGGCGTCGTGGCGGGTACGTGTAGTCCCAGCTACTTGGGAGGCTGAGGCAAGAGAATTGCTTAAGCCCAAGAGTTTGAGGTTGCTGTGAGCTGTGATGCTACAGCACTCTACCAAGGGTGACATAGTGAGACTCTGTCTCAAAAAAAAAACCCAAAAAACAAATACCGAAATGGTTCAAAATGAACTGTTAGGCCACCTCCTTTCTCTTGTTCCCACATTCTCTCTGTTGTGAAATTTCTTTTTATTCACAAAAAAAGAATGATGCTTGTTTCTTCCCTTAGCTACTCCACCATCACCCCAGCCTCCCAGAGAGAACACTGTCTCTGTATATGTCCACACTTTTTTCTCCATACCTGTTTTTATTATTGCACTTTGTGTGTGGTTGGGCCACTTGCCTTGGACGTCTGTCTGTGTGAACTGCAGGTGACTGACTCCCTGTGCTTATGCACTGCACTGGTCTGCTCTGCCTCAGCCTCCCTGTGTAGGTTCCTCCTTGACCAGGAGATGGGGTCCCCTGGTCGCTGGATAGCCTCCTGGGCCAGGGGAGTGAAGGAGGCAGGGCCTTGCTTGGGTGGACCTGTGTGCAGCCTCTATGACAATCCTGGGGGTGCCACATGAGGTGGGGAGCTACGTGCCCAGGGGCGTAGCTAACATTTGATGGATTGCCCTGAGGTTGATGTGTGTGTGAGGAGTCGGACAGTTGCCTGTGAGTGGTGCGGCTTGTGGGTCTAAAGCAAGCAGGGTGTTTTGCTGGTAACTCCTGCCTCTAGAGCTCCCAGAGATGGCTTAGGCTTCACCTAAGGACTTAAGTCCATCTTTGCTGGTGCAGAGGTCTGGCTGCTGAGGGAGGGCAGGAGAAGCGGCCACTGCCATCTTGCTGTGGGATCTGGGCACGCTCTTTTCCAGACCCAGGTAGGCCTCATCATCCCCACCCACACTGTGAAGGACTGGACCTGCTGGGCCCTGGGGTCCTCCCTGTCTTCAGGAGCACACCATCCTCAGGCTTGAGGGATGCCCTCCCCAGTGCAGTCCCCTTCACTCAGGCTTCTGGTTGTGTCTTGGCAGCAGGCCCTGCAGGACAAGGGGTGCAAGAGCAAGAGTCAGGGGACGAAGGAAGAGAAGCTCCTGAAGAGGCAGGCGCCGGTCCCCAGGCGGGACCGGGAGGCCCAGGAAGCTGGTGGCACCATGAATGTAGAGAAAACAGGTAAAGAAGGTCTGCCTGCTGACCCAGAACACCCTGGTGAGGGTAGCGCAGGAGGGAGGCTCTTGGTAGAGTCTGAGCTGTCCCCAAACTCTGCCCCACTCAGCTGGAGGGAGTCCAGCCAGACTCTGGCTGCCCGAGATGGCACTCAGAGACCTCAGCCTACTGCTTCCGGATCCAAGGACAGTGATGTGTATATAACCTTCTTCTCCTGTGCCATCCTCCTTCCAAAGCCACCAAGGCCCCACCCAGCGATAAGAGGCCTTGGCCAGTGCAGGCTGGCATTGAATTTCCCCACTTTTTGTTTTTCCCAGTGCCTGTCAAAAGCAGGACGAGGGTGGCAGCCTCACAGACGCCACTGTCCGCAGAGAGAAGCCTGGTATCCTCCCTCCTGTCCTGAGCTGGTGGGGTCTGGAGGCCTCTAGCACAGGGCTTTGATTCTCCTGCTTAGAGGCTGAGAACAAGGAGCCGGTGGTTCTGCTCTCTTTTGCCAAGCCCTGCCATGGCATCCAGAGGCCAGCAGCTTCTAGAAGGCTCCTGAGGCCCTTGTACATAGTCTTCCGGATCCATGCTGGGGTCCCCAGTGTAACTGGGCATGAGCACCTCAAGGAGCCCCAGGGGAAGGCCAAGAGTGTGTGGAGGAAAAATTTTGTCACCAAAAGGTTAATTTATGTGTCTGAACTTGAGTGGAAAGAGCTGCTTCCTTCTCTGATGTTGTACCAGAGCCATGTTCACCTATCGGCCTGGGATGCTCCTGTCTGACAGCAGGTGTTAGGACCTGGCTAAGGGGTGGGCAGACAGGAAAGGGGGACATTGTCCAGGCAATTAGGTGGGCCTCCAAGGCTCTGAGGGGAGAAAGCCAGTTCCAGTTAAGAGCAAGGCCAGCTGGGGCCTGCAGCCTCTTTTGCATGAGGACCTGCTCTGTCCCTTGCACCCAAGTGCCCTTGGATCTCACCTCTCCCATCTTCCCCAGACTATGACCACCCTTGCCTTCTTTTTTTTTTTTTTAGAGACAGAGTTTTATTTTGTCACCCTCAGTAGAGTGCTGTGGTGTCACAGCTCACAGTAAACTCCAACTCCTGGGCTTAGGCGATTCTCTTGCCTCAGCCTCCCGAGTAGCTGGGACTACAGGCGCCTGCCACAATGCCCGGCTATTTTTTGTAGTAGTTTGGCAGAGGCTGTGTTCGAACCTGCTACCCTTGGTATATGGGGCCGGTGCCCTACTCCCTGAGCCACAGGTGCCGCCCTACCCTTGGCTTCAAGAAGATCTTTTCTTCTCCCACCAGCATTCTGCAGACCCCTGTCAGCTGCCCTATACCTGCACCTGGTGGGGCTAGGGGCAGGGTGAGCCCCATTGGGGGTGGCCTCCCGTGACACAGGCAGTAGCCTGGACAAGACAGGCTCTGATGTCCCAGTTCATCCCTGTGGCTGGTTGTGTAACAGTCACCCACACCTGTGCATCCCCACCATTCAGGGTTCCTCTTGGGCAGGGCCTGTTGTCCACATTTCTCGTGGGAACACCCTGCGGCCCCCTCCCACATGTATCTCAAGTGGCAGGACCAGCTCTCGAGCCAGAGGCCAGTGCATTCTCTGCCGCACCACAGCAGTATGCAGAGGGCTGAGGGCCACGCTGGTCACATGCCGCTCACAGCAGCCCCGTGTGCAGGCCTAGAAGCATCCGTCTGACCTCGCTCTCTCTAGAACAGATCACAGGAGCTTGGCCAGCTCTGTGTGACGTGTATGCTGTGTCACATGCAGGCCACACAGCCAGGGTCACCATCCAGCTTGGGACTGCCCTGCTGCAGCTCTTCAGAGGGTCTCCTGCCCTCTTAGCATTGAGCCTAGCCATGTCCACTTAACCCTCCTCCTCCCACCCAGCCTGCAGGTCCCCCACACCCCTGGCCAGCCTGGGCCATTGGTATCCCTGCAAAGCAGTGGACACACTCTCAGTCAAGCCTGCTGGGGGTAACTTCACATGCAGGTGGCTTTGTTTGCAGGCTGTCTGCCCCCACAGCCTGCAGGGGCCGGGAATCCCAGGGACCTAGTGAGAGAAAACCCAGTGCCCTGGGGCTCTGAGGTGGGGGAGGAGGGGACTCTCAGGCCAGCAGATACAACACCCCTCTTCATTCTTTGCTCTCGGACACTTTGCCAGGCCTCCATGTCAGCAGCCTGAGGGAGGAGTCAACCCCACCTGCCCTTCCCCCTCCTCTGTCTTCTCTCTCTGTTGAACTCTGTGCCAGCCTCGAGCCTGCAGAGACCTGGCCACTCGGTGCCTGAGAAACAAGCTGTGATGAGTAACCCAGACCCCATTGGCAGGTCACAGACCTTGATTCTTTGAAGTCTTTGCCTTCATCCGTCTGTCTGTCTTTCTCTTGCTCCTGGTGACAGGACAGTGGAAGGCCATGGGAGGAGGAGGACTCAAGCTGAGTTCCTGCCCGGCTCGGTATTTATCACGGTCCTGTGCCTGTGTGGTCCCTATGCCTGGTCCTCAGCATCCTTGCGAATAAGCACAGAGTTGGCCTGGCTGCGTTCCTGCCCCTGTGCTGGTCCATCTCTGTGTCCTCGTCCATCTCTCCCTCACACATGCACATACTTCCCCTGGCTCCCCTCTCCATGTGCAGGCTGGGGAGCCCCTCTCCTTTCTTACACACTCTTGAGAGGCTTTGAGGCTTAAAGAAACCTTGTTCTTACAAGAACAGTGATTTCTGGGGTGAAATCCCTTTGTCTTTCTCTCTTGTGATTCCTTGCAGGATGGCCCTGGTGAAGGGCTAGCCCATGAGACCTAGAGCACATGCTTTTCTTAAGTTCTGATCCAGGCCATTCCATCCCCTAGAAGCTGCCTGCCCAAGTGGCTTCTTCTGAGATAGGCCCCAAAGGCCCCGGCTAGCCCATGCTGCCGCTCCAGGCCACAACCACTGCCCTGTGCCCTTCGCTTGTGCCGTCCCCCTACCCGATGGCCTGCCCCACCATGTCAGAGCCCCTGTGGTCCACCAGCCAGCGTGGGATCTATCTGCCCTGCTCATCAGCCGCTGCTTTGCTCGTAGGTGGGAGGCTCTTTGGCAGCGGGAGGTGCTCGAGCCTGTCGGGGCCGCCAGGTGCGGCCCCCATGGTGCATAGGATGGTCGAAGCCATTTCCCAGCTTCAGGAGGAGAAAGCCCAGCTTCAGGAAGAGCTGGCAATCCTACAGGAGCGGCTGGCCCTCCACGACAGTGACCAGCAAGCCACATCCACCCAGCTGCAGAACCAGGTACCTGGGAAGCTAGGATAGGTAGAGGTCACTGCCCACTGCAGAGCAGGTCAGAGGACGTTGCCCTGGGCACTGGCTTCTCCAGGCCACTGGCATAGTAAGAGGAGACAGGTAGGATCTCCTCTCCTGGCCTGGGGGGTGCCAAGAATCAGAGGTCTGGGCCCCCTACCCTGGTCATCCTTTTGCTTCATCTTCTTGTGGTTACTGAGACCGGAACCTACCCTGCTAGGGGTGACGTAGACATGAGTGGAATAGGAAGGTGCAAGGAGGCTTCCTGCCCTGAGGCCTGTGCTGAGTCCATCCCATCTTGACAGTGCCCTGGAGTGGGCAGCCTGAATGGGCAGTCATCCCACAGGAGCTGGAAGACATTTCTTATTCTCTGGATTTCTTGTTAAAGGCAGAGACTGGCTTGAGTGGGTATGGGCAAGGGATCCCTCAAACCTCTGGAGGTCAGGGAGAGCCAGGGTTTATGCCCGTGAGTGTCATTTTCTTTGTTGGCTGTCCAGGAGGACGTTTGAGGACACTCCGTCTGTGAGCTGCTTGCCCTGTGGGGCTGAGCACTACCCTCTTCTGTGCACATGGCTGCTTCACTCTCCCCCCTTGTCCAGCTTGGTGTGGACCCCAGGCCCTTTGCTCGCTCCCACTCTCAGCATCTGTCTGTGGCTGTGTTTGAACCTCACTCACTTGCCAGGGTCCCCAACCTGGTCTGCCACATCCTCTCCCTCTTGAAGCTGGTGCTTTGGCCTGGCTGTCATGTCTTTGAGCTCTGAGGCCAGGGATCTCTGTTGATAGCTTTGCCTTCTGGTCAAGTTCTCTGTCCCATGAGGCAGCAAAGACGTTACCTAGACATGTGGACCGCCTGCCTGATGGCACATCCCTGGGTACTGTGGCCAGTTCAGCGGCCCCAGGTTGTCTGTGTGCACTTTGAGGTACAGCATTTCTTCTTGCTTACTCGTGTGTGCTCTCCTCCAGAACACCTGTCCTGTCCCCAGCCCCTTGCTGAGCTGGGCGGGCCTCCTTGCGCGTCCCTTGCACTCTGTGTCTCCCGCCTGTTCCCTTCCCCCTTGATGGGGTGGCTCTGGGCCTGTCTGCCTGGCCGACAGGGAACTCCTCAAGGCCAGCGCTGCAGTCCTCCTGCCTGCTGAGTGCCCACCTGCCTTCCTTGGATGTTAGAAGAGTACACTTCTTCCTGGACATTGAGCTGGGCATTGTGGATACCCAGGTGGAGAGCAGGCCCCATCCCTATGGAGGCTCTGTTGAGGGGAAGACAGATGTTTGTACCACACGGGCATGGAAGGTGGGCTGTGCGGAGGGGCACACACAGGGCCGTGAGTGCTTGTCTGAGGGCCCGTGACCCTGTTGTGTGGGTTAGAGACAGCTCCCCTGAGAGGCAGTGCTGGCGCTGAGGTCTGGCACAGAGCAGAGGGGAGTACACTCTGAGTTGAGGACCAGCGAGTGCAAAGGGACTGTGGCAGCAGGAGGGCGTGGCTAGAGTGCTGTGGGAGGGGCTGTGGAGGGTATCCCCGGCTCCTGTGCAGGACATGTATCTGGCTTAAAGCAAGATGCTAGCAGTACCTCTTCGTTTCCCCACCTTCCCTGGCTTAAGCTGTTCAGACACTTCAGTTTTCTTTCTTTTTTTTTTTTTCCTTTGGGACAGAGCCTCACTTTATCGCCCTCAGTAGACTGCTATAGCAACACAGCTCACAGCAACCTCCAATTCCTGGGCTTAGGCAATTCTCTTGCCTCAGCCTTCTGAATAGCTGGGACTACAGGCACCCACCACAATGCCTGGCTATTTTTTGTTGCAGTTTGGCCAGGGCTGGCTTCGAACCCGCCACCCTCGGTATTTGGGGCTGACACTCTACGCACTGAGCCACAGGCACCACTTAGACACTTCATTTTTCAAACATATTGTTTTGAAAAAAGAGCTTTAGTGGGTGGCACCTGTGGCTCAGTGGGTAGGGTGCCGGCCCCATATACCAAGGGTGGCAGTTTCAAACCCGGCCCCGGCTAGCTAAAACAGCAATGACAACTGCAGCAACAACAACAAAAACAAAAGCTGGGTGTTGTGGTGGGTACCTATAGTCCCAGCTGCTCAGGAGGCTGAGGCAAGAGAATCACTTAAGCCCAAGAGTTGGAGGTTGCTGTGAGCTGTGGCACCACGGCACTCTACTAAGGACAACAAAGTGAGATACCATTCACATACCATAAAATTCATTCCCTTAAGGGAGACAGTTCAGTGGTTGTAAATGTATCAAGAAAGTGATGATGTCAGAATGTTTTCATCGCCCTCAAAGACCTGCTGACAGCCCCTCCCCATCCTCCCCTTCCCACGGTTGCTGGCAGCCCTTCATCTGCTCTCCATTTTTATGGATTTGCTTTTTTGGAATATTTCATACAAATGAAATAGTATAGGTCGCCTTTGACTGTAAACAAGGTTTTGAAAATATCTTTTAATTAACAAAATCTACTTATTTTTATTTATTTATTTTCACTAAATCAAACACATAGCTCATGTATACATTAATGCATTTATGATTTCGTATAGAATTAGGAGCATTTACATCACACTGGTTAATATATGCCTCGTCTCATTTATTTAATTATTGTGTTAAAGCATTTATACTCTATACTTAATAGATCTAGCATGTACCCTCGCATTATTTTTATTTTTATATTTGAGACAGAGTCTCACTATGTTGCCCTGGGTAGAGTGCTGTGGTGTCACAGCTCACAGCAACCTCAAACTCTTTGGCTGAAGTGATTCTCTTGCCTCAGTCTTCCAGGTAGCTGGGACTACGGGCGTCCGCCACAACACCTGGCTATTTTTTTTTTTTTTGGTTGTAGTTGTCATTGTTGTTTGGTAGTCCCAGGCTGGATTCGAACCCACCACTCCTGTGTATGTGAATGGTGCCGCTGAGCTTATAAGCACTGAGCCAAAATCTACTTATTTTTAAAGAGGGGAAGTTGAGGGTGAAGCTTTCCAGCCTTTTTGGTGGCTTTGTGTCCGGCTCTCCTGCCCTGTTTAGGATAAACCCCCATCCCTCAATGACTTGGAAATTCAGAAGAGTGTAGTCTTTGCTCTCAATTTGCCCTTGGATTTTTGTGACTGCCAACTCTTTTCTGGAATTTTCTAAGGAGATGCACCTGTTCTCTGTAACTACTCTCTAGGTCTGACCTGTGGTGATGTGGCCAGCCTTGTGGGCCTGTAGCTGGGTTCGAACTCCAACCTTGGTACTGATTAGCTGTGTGACCTTGGGCTGATTGCTGTTCTTTACCTCAGTTTCCTCATCTGTGAAATGGAAATTAAAAGAGCATCCATAAAATGTGGTGCCTTGGGGGGTGTCACCCCCACATGCCCTGGTCTCCTTCCTTCCTGTCAGCTTCACTGTGGTTCAACGCAGACTTTGACTTTCCCGGTATTCTGAACATCTCTTAGGAAAGCTCCCCATGGGGTGTGCTCCCCCTTCTTTTCCCGGTGCCTGGTTTCCAACCATGTCCAGACTCGCCTTCTGTCTGGCTGCCTTCTCATGGTGTTCTTCTGAAAGGCCATGTGGCCTAGTGGTCAAGAGAGAGGGCTCTGCAAGGGTCAGTCAGACACAAGTGGATCCGATCCTGGGTCTACCACTTAGTCGTCAGATGACCTCTAGTAAGTTGTTTAACCAAGGCTTAACCTCTAGAGAGCTTGGTTTTGCTCCCTGTAAAATGGGGATAATAATCACATAATAGAACCCACCTCATAGGACTGGGGAGTTCAAAGTGATGAGCTCATGAAACTCCCTGCCCCACTGGCAAAGCTGACTCAGGAAATGGGCCCCCGTTACTATCTCTGGGACCTGGGCTTATTTGTGGGGGTTGTGGGTGGGTCTTTTCAGGCCACAGGAGGGGGTGCTTGTGCTCACTGAGAACACTCAGGCCAAAGGTCTGCAGGCCCCGGATACCCAGTGGACCTGGCCATAGGGTCTAAGTCTGGTGACCAAAGGAGGCTTGGCCTTTGGGACAACTCTCCCGAGTGGGGGTAGCATCAGTCCCAGGACATGCTCTGCTGGCCTTGAGCTCCCCTGTCTTCTTGTGGGTGACCCTAAAGCCATGGGCCCAAGGTTCCCAGGGTCGTGCAAGCATTTCCTCTTCTCACACTACCCCCTGTACCCACCTACTGCCCCTCAAAATGGAACCTTAAAAAATTGTCCTCAGAGACTACCAGACTAGATCTTGCCCTCAAATATAAATTTTTACTATTAAAAATCTGATGGGCTGGTCATGGTGGTTCAGGCCTGTAATCCTAGCACTCTGGGAGGCCAAGGTGGGTATACTGCCTGAGCTTAGGAGCTGGAGACCAGCCTGAGCAACAGTGAGAACCTGTCTCTATTAAAAATGAAAAACTAGCTGAGCATGGTGGGCTTATGCCTATAACCCTAGCACTTTGAGAGGCTGAGGCAAGGGGACTGCTTGAGCCCAAGAGTTTGAAGTTGCTATGGACTATGATGCCATGGCACTCTACTGAGGACGACAGAATGAGACTCTGTCTGAAAAAAATAAAATAAAATAATACAAGTGATAAAGTACATGTAACAAAATTTACCCTCTTAAACATATATATATTTTTTGTCGTTGTTGTAGTTTTTGGCTGGGGCCAGGTTTGAACCCACCACCTCCAGTATATGGGGCCGGCGCCCTACTCTTTTGAGCCACTGGTGCTGCCTCCTCTTAAACGTTTTTAAGTGTCAACTTCAGTGGCACATTGTTGTGCAGCCATCATCACCCTCCATCTCCAGAAGCTTCCCAAACTGAACTCTGTCCCATCAAATGGTGACCCTCCACTTTCCCCCTTCCCACCACACTGCCGTTCTACTGTGTCTCTGTGAGCCTGACTACTCTAAGGTGCCCCTGTAAGTGGAGTCACGCAGTGTTTGTCCTGTGACTGACTTATTTCACTTAGCATGGTGCCCTCAAGGTTCAGCTATATTGTAGCAGGTGTCAGAATGTCCATTTTTATAGGT